GGAGGCAGACTGGGAGGCAGGCTGGGAGGCAGGCTGGGAGGCAGACTGGGATGCAGACTGGGATTCAGGCTGGGAGGTAAGCTGGGATTCAGGCTGGGAGGCAGGCTGGGATGCAGGCTGGGATTCAGGCTGGGATGCAGGCTGGGATTCAGGCTGGGATGCAGGCTGGGAGGTAGACTGGGATTCAGGCTGGGATTCAGGCTGGGAGGCAGGCTGGGATTCAGGCTGGGAGGCAGGCTGGGAGGCAGGCTGGGATTCAGGCTGGGAGGCAGGCTGGGAGGCAGACTGGGAGGCAGACTGGGAGGCAGGCTACTGCTACTTGAGCCATCTCCGTCAGCAGACCTAGGCATTCTGGAAGGACTAATGGAAGAGAGAGGCACAGGAACACCCCCCCCCCCCTCAGAAGGCCTCAGGGAAACAGCGACAGCATGGATCCTAGAGATAGAGGAGGCCGTACTGTCCTCTGCTGACACGTCTCCATCAGAAAGCAGCTCCTGGCTTGTGAGGGAGTCTTAGTAGAGACATTAAACCAGACCAGGGGGCGCCCCAAAATGGTAATATCCTACCCAGTAAGTCATATGAGAGTCCACGGTGGCTAGTTTTGTATCCACTTGACAGAGTTATCTGAGTCCACTCGACAGAAGCTAGAGTCATCTGAAAGGAGGGACCTCAATTGAGAAAATGCCCCCATAAGATCCAGCTGTAGGGCATTTTCTTAATTAGTGACTGATGGGGAGGGTCCAGGCCACTGTGGGTGGTGCATTCCCTGGGCTGGTGGTCCTGGGTTCTATAAGAAAGCAGGCTGAGGGCCGAAAAGATGGCTCAGTGGTTAAGAGCACTAGCTGTTCTTCCAAAGGTCCTGAGTTCAATTCCCAGCAACCACATGGTGGCTCACAACCATCTGTAATGGGATCTGGTGCCCTCTTCTAGCCTGCAGGCAAAACATGCAGGCAGAATACTATATACATAATCAATCAATCAATCAATCAATAAATCAATAAATAAGAAAGCAGGCTGAGCAAGCCAGGGGAAGCAAGCTAGTAAGTAGCACCTCTCCACGGCCTCTGCATCAGTTCCTGTCCCCAGGTTCCTGCCCTGTGTGAGTTCCAGCCCTCACTGTTTTTGATGTTATATGGAACTGTGAGCAAAACAAACCCTTTCCTCACCAAGTTGCTTCTGGTCATGATGTTTCATCACAGCAATAGTCACCCTAACTAAGACAGAGTCCATGAACTGCTGATGACATTTCAGTTGATAATGGATTGCTATATATGACAGCAGTCCCATAAAGTGGTATCATTTAGAGGCTGAGAGTGCAGCTCAGTGGTAGATCACTTGCCTAGAATGCGTAAGTTTTTAGCTTCAATTCCCCAGCACCACATAAAACATATAAATGGTTTCCCACCTAGAAAAGTCATATCCAACTTAGTTTGGGTCCATACACTCTACGCTATTCAAACAGCAGCGGTGTTACCTAACACATTTCTCAGACTGTATTCTCATCATTAAGTCATATATACATGACTATATATAAGGACAGGCAGATGGACCCCAAGGGCCAAGCTATCCAATGTAAGCAGGTAGTTCAGACTCCCTGACTGTGTGCTCCTAATGTTTCTACGGCACTGACCTCCGTGGCCTCTCATCAGCTAGTGGGGGCCGGGCAGATAAGTGCTCTGGGTGACAAATGAATCTAGGAGACACGCAGGCCCCACCTAGATGCAGGAGCAGTGACGTCACTGTCTCACTTGGGAAAACCTTGAGTGACGTGAAGAAGGGACATCTTGGTGAGGCTGTCCAGGTACAGATCTATCCCAGAGTCTTAGCCTCTGAACTATTGACACTTTGAGCTGAATAAGTCCTTGGTGGATACGTGGGCTCTCCTGTGTATTGTAATTCTTAGCCTCTACCCACTAGATGCCAGAACACACACACACGCACACACACACACACCATGACAGCCAGAAATATTTCCAGACATTGCCCATTGCCCCAGATTGAGAAGCCCCATTCCATATTAATTTATGGACAGTGGCCCCTGAGCTACCAAGCAGACAAGGGACTTGGAAAGGACAGAGAAAGGGGCACTATGGGTATTAAGATTTATGGCCGGTATGATGGTTAATCTTCATTGTCTGTGTGCGTTTGAATGAGAATGTCCTCTATAGGCTCATGTTCTTGAACACTTGGTCACCAGTTGGTGGCACTATCTGGGAAGTCTTAGAAGGTGTGGCCTTGGTAGAGGAAGTATGTCACTGGAGGCTGGCTTTGAGAGTCTAAAGACTCGCGCCATTTCCAATTTATTCTCTCTGTGTCGTGCTTGTGGCTCAAGATGTGAGTTCTCAGCTTCCTGTTCCTGTTCCATGCTTCTCCTCCATAACAGACTCTTAGCCCTCTGGAACAATAAGCTAAAACAAACTCTTCCTTATATAAGTTACCTTGGCCATGGTGTTTTTGCCATACTTGCCCCTGATACCATGCTATCCCCACCATCAAGGACTCTCCCTCTGGAACTGTAGGCCAAAATAAACCCTTGCTTCTGTAAATTGTCTTGGTCATGGTGTTTTATCACAGCACGAAAAGCAACTAACACAGTTAGCCTGACTAGATTTAGAATCCCCTAGGAGACTGCTAACGGACACTTCTGGGTATCTCCATGTGGGTGTTTCCAGAGAGAATTAATTGAGGAGGAAAGACCCCCCCCTCTGTGGGTGATGCCCTCCAATGGGCAAGGGGACAAATAAGAGAAAGAGGGGAGGAGACAGAAAGCAGGCTGAGTGCCTGCACGCTCTTCCTCTCTTTGCTTCCTTGTTAGCCATGAAGTGACTAGCTCTCCTCCTGCACAGGAACCACTGACCATATTCTAACCAAGCACACGGGACCAAACAACCAGTGACGGACCCTTCCAAAACTATGGGTAAAATACCATGTCGCTCCTTTACCTGGTTCTCTCGGGGTATTATTGATCATGGTGACTCAGGAGAAAGAAGTGGGATCGGGCTACACGACCTCCCAGTTTGGAGGAGTTGAGATGGCTCAGCCCTTAACAGTGGTTCCTGCTCTTGTAGAGGATCCAGCTGACGTTGACCTGCAACTCCAGCTCCAGAGGCTCCAATGCCTCTAGTCTCACAGGGCACCCAAACTCATGTGCACATCCCCCTCCACACACATAAAATTACAAAATATATCATTAAAAATACATACATGAATGAAACCTCACAGCTTGCCCCCAGTGATCCACACCTTCCACTATGCCATCGCCTCTTAAAGGTGCCACAATCTTCCAAAACGGTACTACCACCCACCCTGGTCCTCCATACTCCACAAGCATCCAGAGGCCCAGTCAACAGAGGTGGGTGACAGGAAACATTTTTGCAGAATACACCTCACTGCCCTAACTCCAATTGCCTCTCCATGACTTTCCTTGCATCATGATTCCAAGTCCTGGTCGAGACAGAGAAGAGGAGCCCACCCGTCCCTGGGCACTGGGCGGGTGGAAAGCACAGTAAAAAAAATCTGCAAAATTCACTGTCACTGTTAACAGTGAGTTCTCTGTGTTTCTATTGTAAGCATGCCTTCTGATGTTCATTTTTCTGTAAACAAGCAGACGCTGGGATCAACTTGACCCCCTAATTAGCATCTTTGGCATCTTCTCTTGTTTTGTTGTCTAAGCTGCTGTGAGCAAAAGGACTGTCAATCTTTTTTTTTTTTTTTCCTCCATGTAGTTTTGGTGCCTGTCCTAGATCTCGAACTATGACCAGGTTGGCCTACCTCACAGAGATCCGCCTGGCTCTACCTCCCGAGTGCTGGAATTAAAGGCATGCGCCATTGCCGCCCAGCAGGACTGCCATCTTAAGAGCCAGTTGGACTATACTTTGCTAGTATTAGCTATCTTAAATGCCCTGCTGATGTCTGGAGACAACTAACTATGCAGATCATCACAGCTGGTCGCCTAGGCTTGCTGAGGACCCAGCCCTAGACAGAGCTGTTTGAAATGATTTGTACCATACTTTCTGCAATCACAGCCTCAGTGAACCAGTTCCACTTTGGCCAACCAGAGAGCCCTTCCCCTGGTCGGGGGATGACTATGGCCTCTGGCAAACCTGTGATTGATCCAGAACCCGGGAAACTGGGATTGGTCCAAACAAACTGCTATGATTGGTCTCAACAGCCCTTCTAGGTTATTTAAGCAGGCTGTTTTGCTCACTCAGAGTGGATTTCCGTACTGCCCATGTGCAGTATGCATTTCCAAGATGGGGGCTCCAGTTTCAGAGCTCAAAGTACCTATAACTACTGGTCAACAGTTGAAGAGATCTCAGAGCAGACCGAGTGCCTGGTGCCAGACCCGTCTGACCCTCAAATAACCTTGCCTGTGACTGGTACCCACCACTGGTCCACAAAGAAGTGGCATTGTGGAAGCCTTGATGTGCCATTCTACAGCTAAAGTAGTTGTCCACTGAGGCCTCGGGCCCATTCGCCAGCAGGCCTGTGAGTACAGGCCTGAGCCAACCCAATTCTACAAGTATGATGCTGCTGCCCAGGACCGGCCAAGAATCCCACCAGTCTAAGAATCCCACCAGCCCACCAGGATCCTGCCCTTAGTGGGAAAGGATACCTGTGCTTAATGATGCCCGCCATTCCCAGCATCCAGTTTCTGAATGGTCCTCCTGCATCCTCAACTCCCAAAGGCTTCCCCAACAGAGTCAGGTAACCCCTCCCACCCCAAGCCATCCTGCGGCAGCACCAGCAACTAAGGGAACGGATGAAGAATTCCCCAGTGGCACAGCAGGAAGATGGGACTCGGAAATAAATGTGATGCCTTAAAGTCTTTAGCGTCCAGGGTCTCAAACCCCAGGATGAGAAACTGTAGCTCCGGCAGCAGCAAAGAACCAACACCTGAGGCCTGCATGAGACCTCACCGCTAGAGGGCGCCACCTGCCACTGCTCCCACCCACCTACACTAGGGGAGAGCTTCCTGCCTACCCTCAATTTCTGTCCAGGTAGCACAGAAGAACCCTCCGACAGTGGCCTGGTGACAGTTGGCTGGCTCTTCCACCGGCTTAGACGCAGGAATTACACTTCAGGTGTTTCTGCTTTCCTGTGAATTTTTTGAGGTGCTTTTCCTGAGACTTTTGCCACCAAGCCTTCCCGTTCATTATGAAAATATTGTACGTCATGTTTGCTGGAGGATACCTGAAACGCAGAAGAAAAACTACACCGCTTACTAAACACCCAGGAAGCCCCACTGCCTGCCCGTTGGATGGAGAGGGAGGCTGCAGTTTCTGAGGGGTCTGAATTCTGTTTCCTCGGGGAAGGTCTGTCCTGAATGACATTCCCTCTGACTCGGGACCGCAAGTTGCCTCTGGGAAACTCCATCCACAGCTTTTCATCCACAGCCCCAGCTCATCTGTTTGGGATGGATCAGGTTTTTTTGTTTTGTTTTGTTTTGTTTTGTTTTGTTTTTTTACAGAAAATGGCTGGGAATAGAATCTGAGCCATCCCTCCACCACCACTACCCTTCCCGAGTTCTTCAAAGGAGGAGGGATGCCGAGAGCCACCCACCTTGGCTGTTTCCGCTTTATATACGTGACCAGTAGAAGCACCACGAACATGGTGACCAGGAGGATTGCGGCCACAGCGATGGAGGCGGTGATGATATTCTTCTGCAGGAAGCTCAGCAGATGTCTGCAAGGTAGACCCTCACTGTGAGCATCTAAACGGGAAGACACAAGGAGAGCGGCTAGAGGCAGCCCGCACCCATCCCTGCCAGGTGACCCACAACCAGGCCCCTAAACAAGGACAGCCCGGTGGCCTTGCCCAGAGCAGAAGTAAATACACGAGCATGTCAGCCATGTTCTCCAGCAGTCCAGCTCCCCAGGGGAGGAGGCGGCCGGCCTTATCACCAGTGACAAGTTGAGATGCCGAGCAAGCAGCAACACATCCCTGGAGAAGGCTCAATAAAGCAGAGTGTGTCGGAAGCAAGAGGACCAGAGGTGAGGTCCACAGGGAGGCAGGGCATGGGAGTGGTGATGTCCATGGAGGCAGGGACGTCCTACTTCAAAGGCTTTGAGAATAATGGAGGTAGGGCTGAGGGTGTAGTTCAATGGTGGCACGCATGTTTCACATGCAGGAGGCCCTGGGTTAAATCTCCAGCGTGAGGAACTGGACAAGGAGGTGTCAAAGCTTTTCACTGGGCAGTGACAAAAACATTTCTCTGCTGCCCCCTCCTCCCTGCCCCACCAGCTTCTAGAAACTCTAATAAAGATTCAGCCTCCCTTATAGGTGTATGATTGTAGGTCTTGACCGTGATCTTGATTTGACTAAGAGACACGTAAGAGATTAGATTAAGTGTGTGTGTGTGTGTGTGTGTGTGTGTGTGTGTGTGTGTGTGTGTGTGTCTGGGAGGGTGTTTTCAGAAATGGCTGACATATGAGACAGTGACGGAGGTGGGGAGCTCCATCCTGAATTTGGGTAGTACCATCCGATAGGCTGAGGGCCTAGACGGAATAAAGATGGGGAAAAGAGGAAGCCCGCCCATGAGGGGAGGTATTTTCCTCCCACTTCCTCTGAGAGGGCCAGGCAAATATCCGTGACAGCCTATCCTAATAACTCAGTTAAGAACTAGGCCTCAGTCCCTGCTTCTTGAAACTGGGCAGACACAGTTTTCTAAGGAAGCCACAAACAAAGGACAGTTAATCTTCAACACCCCTGAGAGCAAGAACAAGGAAATTAAGATGTACCAAGACTGGGCCACTGAGCCAGCCCCCACAGTCAGCAGCTCAAGGTAATAACCAAATAAGGACAAAATCTGGGACTTGTCCAGACCTGCCCCCAAATGGAAAAGCTGTAGCCTTAACCAGCCCCTGACTAGCCCTAGCCAATTAGAGCATACTAACATGATTGCCACTCACGTAGGTCAATCCTATCTGAGATGACTGAACTCCCCCTAGGAACTCCCCTTAGCTGTGCTTAAAAGGAACCCACAGGCTTCTCTCGGGGTCGCTGCCATTTTGCCTTTGTGGAGGATGGCCAGCCCCAGCATGCTGGAGTAATAAACACTCTTGCTGATTGCATACGTGGATGATGGTCTTTTGTGGGACTTCTCCAGGACCCTAACACAGTCAGTGGCTTTTCACCACCGTTCTTTCCTGCCACAGTGTTCTTGCCTCATCAGATCTTCAAAACAAGGGGGCCAGTGGACCAGGGACCGGCACCTCCAAAGTCTAGAGCTGAAAGAAACCCTTTCTCCTTGAATTTGTTCCTCTCGGGCATTTGCCACAGTGATGAAAAACTGACCAAGATTGTAGTTTGAGAGATTTGTGACTGTCATCCTGCAGGAGATGCTGCCAGAGATGACCCTGGCTTCTGGCAGCCCTCAGGGGACTTTGAGAAATCATGAGGGTGGCTTTGGAATGCCACTGAGCATGGGTTTGAAGTACAAAAACTCATGGTTCAATCTCAAAGGAAGGAGCTTCCAGCCCCTGACTAGTGGGTGTAGACATTTGGGGACTCGGGAGCATCTGTGATTTCATCTGTAATCTAGCCAAAGAAAGAGGAGGAACTGGGGGGTGGGGGAAGAATACAGTGACAGGAATGAGTCAGTTCAGTGGGGCGGGGGGGGGGGGGGCAGTTGGAGCCCAACCCTTCATCCCAACTATATCAAGAGCATCAGGTAACTCTCTCCAAGCCAGGCGGTGGTGGCACATGCCTTTAATCCCAGCACTCGGGAGGCAGAGACAGGTGGATCTCTGTGAGTTCGAGGCCAGCCTGGTCTACAGAGTGAGTTGCAGGACAGGCACCAAAGCTACATACAGAAACCCTGTCTCGGAAAACCAAAAAAAAAAAAAAGTAACTCTCTCCAAGGGCTCTGCTAAAATAATTCATCACTAGACAGTTTAATATTAACATTTTATGTCATGTGTGTATGTATATGTGCACACACATGCCAATGCATACATGCGGCCAATTTATGGGAGTCAGTTCTCTCTTTCTACCAGGTGGGTGTAGAGGGCTGGACTCCAGCTGTCAGGCCTGGTGTTCGATTTCTGAAAGTGAGGACACAGCATGGTGTTATTTTGATAGAGTGGCTGTGTGGAGGGGGTGCCAGCATGGGGTCAGTCTCTACCCACTCTCAACAAGCCTGAGCTCAGTTAACCCAACAAGAAGGAAGAAGCCAGAAGCATAGGAGACTAGGTTGACCTTTGACATTGAACCCCTCTTGTGTGTTAAATAGCCTCAGTGCCCAGCGGTGGCAGGGGCTCAGAAGAGGATACCATGTTCTAACGAACCCTAACGATTTAGAAAAAAACATGAGAATCCTCTTGAAAATGTGGTCAAATTTTTAAAATTCACTTAATTCATAAAGTGTTAGACTCATATGCATTGCCTGGTTTTTGTGTCTTGTTTTGTTTTTTAAACTGTCTCACCACATAGCCCAGGCTGGCCTCAAACTCACAATCCTCCTGCCTCAGCCTGCTGAGTGTTGGGATTACAGGTATGTGATGCTGCACTAGCTTACCGTAAACTTCTGCAGGTGAACTAAAGGTACATTGACTCTATTCAGCTAAAATACCATGAAATCAAAAGACATGTTCTAGAACCTTCCATATTCGACGCTCTTACTTAGGCCATGCTTTAAGGAGGATTTACCTCGAATAACTAATCTTTGGAGTGTTTCTTTGGCGGCAGTAGTTAACTGATGGCTTACATCCCTGTTGAATAAAGACGATTCCTTATTCATCTTCTCAGCAACATGAGCTACAAAAGACAAAAAAGAGAAGTCTAGATCCTGAATGCCCCCCCCCCAAATCTATGTATTGAAGGCTCGGTCTGCAGGCAGCAGCACTCTTAGAAAGCCCTGGAACCTTTAGGGGGTGGGGCCTATGGGAGGCTTTTAGCTCACTGGGGCTGTGCCCTCAGAGATGATTCTAGGATCCTAGCTACCCTCTCTCTTCTCCCCTCTCCCTTCCTCTCTCTCTCTCTCTCTCTCTCTCTCTCTCTCTCTCTCTCTCTCTCTCTCTCTCTCATTTCTTGGACATGGAATGAGCAGAGCTCTCACACACTCCTACCATGTTTCTCTACCTCTGCACAGGCCCCCAAACAACATGGGCAGCCATGGAGTAGAATTTCTAAAGGTGTGAGCCAACATCTTATTAAGTCGATCATCTCAGGTATTTCGTTACAGAGATAGGAAGCTCACATTAACAGTTTTACCTACAGTCATTGGCCTGAGCTTAATTCTGTTTCTATGATAAAGAAGCTTGTGTGTGTGTGTGTGTGTGTGTGTGTGTGTGTGTGTGTGTGTAGCATGTGCACAATTGGGTGTGTGCATGTCACAGCACAAGTGTGGAAATCAGAGGACAAGTCTTCACCTTTCACATTGTTTGAGACGGGGTCTCTTTGTTGTCAGTCATGGTGTATACCAGGCTAGCTGACCCTGAAACTTTCAGATTTTCCCGACCTCACTGTTGGGGAATATTATTATTTTAAAGTGTGTTGCATTAAATAAAACTAACCTATGAGCAGGAGGCTGAGTCAGCAAGTAGCTGACAGGAAGTGGTAAGGAGGAAACCATGTGTAACAAGGGTTTTTAAGTGGGGGCTGAGAGAGAGAAGGACCCGGGGGTTTTTTGGAAGACGCCAGCAAGGGGAGAAGGTGAGCTTCTTGCTATTCAGCCTCTCTGAGCGAGCAAGATTCCACCTAAACTATTGAATCATAAATTCCCTTAGTAGCTTTGAAAGAGTCGGTGCCTGAGGGAACAAAATCCCCTCAGGCTGCGGTCCTTGGTGCCGAAGCTGTTGCTTAAGGGACAGCCATTGAAGATAATAAAAAAAACAGATAACACTCACCCGGCCCTAAGATTATACATGCATGCTACCACATACAGCTTTACATGAGTTCCGGGGATTCTAACCCGGTCCTTACATTGTGTGGCAAGTGCTTTATCCACTAAAGCATCTCCCCAAACCTTTGGGAGCTTCTTCCAGAACCAAAGTAAAGGGGTGTTGGGGATAGGGGCTAAGGTTTCTAAAGTTCTTCAGTGTTTTGGTTTTATTTATAACCTAACAAATTCACTCGCTCATGGCTAAGGCAATGGTTCTCACGGGGAAGGCTTATCAAACACAGACTGGTGGGCCCCACTTGTGAGTTTCTGACTCTATAGGTCTAAGTAGAACTGAGAATGTGCGAGCAGATATGGCTCCTGCCTGTGGGGAACCACCCTTCAGGTGTCGAGCCTGGAATTGAGTCTCCATCTCCATTTGTATGAAATATAGATGCTGTTACTTGCCCGACAGATGGCAGACCATGTGTGAAAGTCATGTGTGAACCACAAAGAGCTACACACAACAGGAAAATGAACCCCACTGAGATATGTACTGGTGCCGCCAAACTGCATCATTACGGTCTTAGAAGAAAGAAGACAGGGTTGGGAATGAGAAATTCTTCCACTCCAGCTGGGCCATTGGCAGTCTGTGACTCATTTGAATAAGAGGGCTGGCGAAACCCCTGGGGAGCGTTCGGTCCAGAGAAATGGGAGGCCAAGAGAGTTGTCTCTGGCAGGCATGGAAAGGTCCTGGAGACCGTGTAATAGATAATCTGAGCTGCTCCGTGGAACAAGCTGGAACCCATGGGTAGGAGCCCTGAGGAGACCTGCATGGTCTGCATGAGTTGGAAAGAAAAGCTACACAAAAGTGAATGGGCAGGGGGAGAAACAGTGACTCCCACACCCCGGACAACCTCAAGCCGAGCCGGGCCCCAGCCCCGGAAGAGGGAACCCTGAGACCTGGAGAGGAGGTGCAGGGTGAGCTTGCAGAACCTTTGGAGGTGTTCACAAAGGAAACAAAACTCATTGCCATGGGACAAAGGTTGTTGTGTGGCAAGAGATCCATGATAGTTTCATTATGCAAGTTGGCTTCGAAAAGTGAGAAAATGTTTAATTTAATATACCCAGCCATCCGTTGGCTTTGAAAATGGCAACTCATTAAGGGGTCAGCAACGAGACACAGAATATGGCTAACGTGGGCTCCGTCATGAGGGCTGCATTGCCTGATCTTTCAGAGGGTTGTATAAAGAAGATACTTCCGCTAGGGAGACAGCTAGGTCAGTGATGTGCTTGGCATAGAAGCATGAGGACCTGAGTTTGGTCCCCAAGGACCCATGAGAAAAAGATGGTGTATGTTTGTCCTCCTGATGTTCTGGGGAGACAGAGACAGGTGGATCCCTGGGGCTTGCCAGCCAGCCAGCCTAGCCTACCTGCTGAGTTCCAGGTGACTAGTGAAAGACTGATAAAAAAAAATAAAAATAAAAAAATAAAACAATAAACCAAGGTTGAGGCCAGTGGGATGGTTCAGTGGATAAAGGTGTCTGCAGCCAAGCCCAATGACCTCGGTTCAAACTCCAGGATCCTCATGATGAAGGAAAGAACAGACTCCTGAGAGTTCACCTCTGACCTCCATAGGCATGCACAAATGTGTGTGTGCATGCATGCAAATATGTACACACACATGAGCTCACACACATAAAGTAGACATCACACCTGAACACACACTTTCATTTCTCTGTGCCACAAAGGGGTCACACTGTCAACAGAAAAAGCACTACTATCCACATTTATCATCAATATGGCCAGGAGTTTTCATTTAACTGTCTTTGGAGAATATCAAAGGTTGTGGAGTTTTCTGGTTTTTTTTTTTCCTTTTTTTTAATGTTTGTGAGTATCTAGCCTGCATGTATGTCTGTATCTACATATTACCTGGTACCTACAGAGGACAGAAAAGGGCATCCGATTCCCTGAAATTGGACTTAAAGGCACTTGTAAGCCTCTGTGTGGGTACTGGAATCCAAGTCCTCTGGGAGAGCAGCCAGTGTTCTTACCACTGAGCCATCCAGTCCCTCTAATTCACTAACTAGATTGACGCTCCTTTTTCAGTCATTTATTTTATGTATATGGGTGTTTTGCCTACGTGCATGTCTGTGCACCACATAAGTGCCTGGTGCCTGCAGAGGCCAGAAGAGAGCATTGGATCCCCTGGAACTGGAGTTAGTTTTAGATGGTTGTGAGCCACCATGTGGGTGCTGGGAACCAAACCTGGGTCAGCCAGTGCTCTTAGCTGCTGAGCCATCTCTCTAACTCCCACAACCAGAGCCATGTTCTTTTGGACTGTTTGAGCATCCTTACAATATGGCAGATACCAGCCGGGCGGTGGTGGCGCACGCCTTTGATCCCAGCACTCGGGAGGCAGAGCCAGGCGGATCTCTGTGAGTTCGAGGCCAGCCTGGGCTACCAAGTGAGTTCCAGGAGAGGCGCAAAGCTACACAGAGAAACCCTGTCTTGAAAAACCAAAAAAATAAAATTAAATTAAATTAAAAAAATAAACAATATGGCAGATACCTTTGAGCAGAGTGAGTGATCCATTGACTATCTTATTAGTTGTGAGCAAGATCTTGGAGAACAAGAATATCTCGCTTAGCTCTTTAGCCTCGAGCACAGAGCCCATGAC